TTTTAAGTCTCTTACAAAACTATAGTATATTTAATCCAACTCTGATTTAAATCATATTAAGCTTCTCTCTACTATTGTCAGTTCTGCCATTAACCTTCTATTGCATGCAGCTTTTGAATTCTTTTTGTCTTTTTATGAGTGTAAATATCATCTGTTAATTTGAGAGCCAGTACAGTCAAGCTTGGACTTTCCAAGCAGATTTTATAACTTATCTATACCAAGTAAACAGTCCTCAACTGCTCAGAGATCTAGGGAATATGGCATTTAAATATTTGATTATTAAAAGACTTTTCATAACAAAAAGAGACTGGTTGGCTCCTAGCAGTAGCACTCTACTTCCTCTAAAGAAGACAGAAGACAGATGGGCACAGAACAACGTTCTTCCACAATTCATTTCAACTGCCAAGCACTGGCCACTGGGCAAAACTGCCTTTCATCTAAACTGAAGATTTCCAGGCAATGAACAGATTCATTGGAATCGACAGCCTAGCTGCTCAGGTCAAGGTAGGCTTCTCTTCCTACAGATTTCTTAGCCCACATGATCTTTTGGAGCCTGGAAGGCCCTGGGCTAAAGATCAAAAGAAAAACATGACCCTCAGCGACCATGGAGAATCTTGAGGAGTAGCTCTAGGTGCCAACCAAGTAAATTCTCTGTTGTTTTTTTAATCAATAACTCAAATAAAATTTTATCCTTCTCAAAGATTTCTTATGCAGTTTGACAGCTGAGAGGTTTTGCTGGTTTAAAAGGACAACCTCACCAATCAAATATTTGTAAAATACAAATACAAGTTATAAAGGTGTGAGGACAAGTGCACACTATCAAATATCTCTCTCATGCAGCCTTTCATAGTCTTAAAGATACTTTTCATTATGCAAAAATATCTGTCACAGTCATTCTGATATAAATATGCTACTGTTTATACAATGTATATTTCTAAAACTTATGTTTTCACAAACCCAAAGAATTCTCATGAGTTCCAGGGAGCTGAATTCAAGGATCCACTTTAAACAGGTCAGATATACTTTTCTCAATTCCTTGGTTCTAAAAATTTTCCCCCCTAAACTTAACTTTGTCCTCTATTTTGGCAATACTTAAACAGGTGTGAGAGACACCAGGCATTTTCATACCACAAACACCAGACAGGAGCATAGAGACCAGCTACTTTAGGATATGACCAGCACCCAGCTTTCTCAGGTTCTCCCCCAAGATAATGCCCACAAATAAGCAGGAAGCAGTCTTGAGAATCAACTGCCCCAATTCCTTTAACCTGTTGTGCCTAACCTCCCACGTTTTTATTATAAAAAAGAGATGAGAATATAATGGTCTGTCCTGTCCCTTTAAGAAACATCCCCCCCCACTCCCTCCCCCATCTGCTGAGGCAACCAGGTCTTCCTTCTGCTTCCAGACTGCAAGTCTTTCCTTTTCATTTCTCTATCCAGAAAACGCAGCCTCTTTCTCTCTCTCTTCTCCCCACTTCTCCCCTTCTCCCTCCTCTCTCTCTCTCTTTCTCTGCTTCTCTCCATTCTCCCCTTCCCTGCTTTCCCTTTCCCCTCCATAACCCACTAAATAAATACTCACTTTCTCCGCATGGTGGGCTTAATAGGTTTGTCTCTCTCTCTCTCACCTGCCACTTGGATTCCTGCCTGGGACCCAGCTGCCTTTGTGGCCCTCCATGTTCTCTTGCCTGCTGCCCACTGCCACCACACAGGGACTTGTGGCATGTTATTTTTACAATAAAACTTTCTTTCTTCTCCAGAGACCTTGCCCAATGTAGTGTGCTGACATGAGGAGGGCAAACAACTGTAATTAGTGATTTTGCGTGCAATGCATGTTGTGTGCAGTTCTCATGTTGACCCTTGCTCTGGAGTGTTTATCTTCTATACTGGGAGACCACAGAGGAATGGAACAGATTTTACCACAGATTAAGGTCTAGTCTCACCAGTACACACATTCCCAAAAACCATGTGTATCTAGAGCCATAAAAACACTGTCATTGAGAGTGAAAGTAAGTTTCAGCAGGATGCTGACATGTGCTGTGCGGATGGTTGTGGCAGAAGCACCATTTTCTCCCATCCTACACAGATTGATGAGATTCAAATGCAGTCGTGTATTTATGTGACCTTTAGGTGAAACAATTTTTGTATAGTTTGTTAAGAAGTAAAACTGGGCTAAAAATAATTCCTATCTCACAGCATTTTTATTAGCTCACACAGGATATTTGTAAAATGCTCCCAACAGTGCCTGCCATATTTAATCAAGTCTGAGATGTTATCACTTCTCTGACTTACCACAGTGTAGGTACTCCTAAGGATTTTAAGCAATATCAATGTTGTACTATTTTCTCTTAGGTTAGAAGACGAAAAAAATAAGTCTTTAAACCAAGGAAGTACAATGGATTGGTTCATATAAGTAAAGGCAATCTAGAGTCAGGCAAAATGATCATTCAGGGAGGCCTGAAACAATTCTAAGATTGAACAGAAGATAATCCACTTGTGTTTGTGCATAGTAATCCAAACAGCAACAGAGCACCAAGCCAACCATATTATTAGTGGAGGTCCAAATTACTTGTTAACTTTTCTAAGAAGTTATTAAGGCATATTTCTTCCATTTTCTAAATGAAGCATAGAGCTGCCTTCATTATGGCCTCTCTAGGATCATTTAATAATCTAGTAGGACTTTCTGCTTGTTGTGGCTGGAATGCTGATGCCCTTGTCCAGTGTATGTGTTGAATCCCTAACCTTGAGTGTGGTTGCATTTGGAGGTAGGGCTATAATATCTCCAATCTCATTTGCATTTTTATGTTACAGAGAAAATGGCTATCTTTAGTTCAGTGTGGTATACCGTAGTCACACAGATCAGCTCTGGTGTCTTCTTGGGAGGGGTCACTAGAACGGCTTTGCTTGCAAGCTCATGTATGAATCTTGGCAATGGAATTTAGGAGCTCATATCACAGTCATCCCCAAGTAAGGGATGTGACCACCAGGGATGGAAGTTTCCTGAACTTTGACCTGCCAGGCCATTGTTTCTGCTGCATATTCTTGGTGATGAAGACAAGCATGGTATCCATTCTACTCCAGTGTCTATGGACTGTGAAAGTCATGTTTGTTAACTGTTCGTAATGGAACAGTATAGGAGGGGGTAGTATGAACTTGTGACACGTGACTAGTACTTGATGATGTCTGTGTAAATGCAGTCCATGGATGTGTATATATGTACACCAACAGAGTCCAAATCACTCAATCGGAGTAGTGACTAAGCCTATGTATGAAGGACATAGTTTCTACATCTGACTATTTCCTAAAAGTCATCAAGGATAGAGGAATGAGGAGAGCTGGGAAAATATGGGATATGCCTAGAATGTTCTTGTGGGCCAGAAGCTTAGTAAATTGTTTAAAATAAGATCCATGGCTGGGTGGTGGTGGCGCACGCCTTTAATCCCAGCACTCGGGAGGCAGAGGCAGGTGGATCTCTGTGAGTTCGAGGCCAGCCTGGTCTACAATAGCTAGTCCCAGGACAGGAACCAAAGCCACAGAGAAACCCTGTCTCGAAAAAACAAAAAAAAAATAAGATCCATGTCAAAATAATACAGCAGTCGTGTGAAGGTTGTCCTCCTGTGTGGATCTGGACAACTTGAATACTAATAGAGAATCATTCTTATAACCATCAAATTAATGATTGATTCAGGTATAAATTATCAATGGGTTCTAAAATCAGAGGATTGGAGACTGGCAAATAAATGTATATAGTTTCACTGTTTCTCTTGTTAGAATTCATAAATTAATATATAAATAATAATATATAGAATAATGATATAGAAATGAGAGAAAATAGAATTTCACAACAAAGAAGCCTGACAGTTACCTGGTGATTAAAGCTAATATTGTAAGAATGGGATAATAGGGCATCATGTATCCCCTGGTATGAGGAGAACATGGAGCCGCTGTCAGGGTACTTGGCTAAAAGCGAATGACTTGAGACTAAGAAGAAGGCTTATTAAAAAAAAAATCAAAGAGGAAAAAATGTAAAGTGACTGCCATGTGTTCCTTAAGGATGCCAAGGTCAAGGAAGATTTGTCAGTTTGAGGAATAGATTCTGATTAAAGGAAGCGAATGGCATGTAACAGCTGGATGTGAGGTGTGCTACTTCAGCAGCGTCTGGGCAGGGGAGACGAGGACATTGTTGGGACAACCTGCATGTATAGAAATTGCACAACAGCACACCCCAGAAAATGTTCTGACTAATTGTATGAGGAGTCATTTTTAGAAGACATTCACTGATGTCCTGAAGCCTGTAACTGTGCATGTCTAGCAGGTGACACAGATCATGAATGATACATCAGGTGTGGTCCCAAGCACACTGGTAAATCTGGGTGACCGGTTATTTCCTATTGCTGTTCTAACAAGTTGTCATCAAGGCAGCCTCATCCCAGAAGAGGAGAAGTCTGGGTTTGGCTGATTGTCCCCTAGACTCTTGTGTCTGAGATGTCAACAGTCGTGATATCAACAGAGCTGCAGTCCGTTACGGATGCTGTGGCGATGAATCAACTTCAGCCTCATTCAGGCTATTTGAGGAATTCGTGTCTAATGAGACAGAAGTCTCAAGTTCATCCACACATGGCTTCCTCCATCTGCAAGCTCACAACAGTTGTTAAGCCCATGCATGCTTTCAGTCTTTCCACTTTTAAGGGCTGAAGGGATTATATTGTGTCTATCTGGATAATCCGGGATCTGCTTCTTTAAAATCAACCAATCAGCAGTCTTAATTACTTCAACAACATCTCTCAGGCCATATCATGAATGTAAAATAACCACAAGAGTTCTGAAGTATTCTGCATCTTTCTTATTAATTTTATGTTAATTTGAGATGTCATCAAATGGAAAGACTACCAAGATAATAGCATAGCCCGGGGGTGGGGGGACAGGTAGTCAAAGCATCTCTAAGTTCTGACTGATCTTGTCCCACTCTAAGAGCTGGTCTCTATTCTCTCATTCCTTCCCAGGCCACCATGTCATCAAGCAGGGTACCTGTGAGGTAGTCGCTGTGCACCGCTGCTGCAATAAGAACCGCATAGAGGAACGCTCTCAAACCGTCAAATGTTCCTGCTTCCCAGGCCAGGTGGCCGGCACAACTCGAGCGCAGCCTTCTTGTGTTGAAGGTGAGGGCCTTTCTGGTCAGTCTCTCTAGGACTTCAAAAGGACTGAAAATCCTTTTGAAATCCATGGTGCTTTGAGGGAAGCATCTGTCCAAAAGTTAACAGAAGTCTGAGCTTCAAGAATCTCTTGATGAATAAGGCAAGCCTTATTTTCTCTCTCTCTGTCTCTCTCTCTCTCTCTCTCTCTCTCTCTCTCTCTCTCTCTCTCTGTCTCTCTGTGTGTGTGTGTGTTTCATTATGGGATAGTTGGGTAGTAGTTTAAAGCTACTTTGCTCACCTATCTCCAAATGCCACTTAGACCAAGCACTTCTTTCTTCCGTCTCCCTTTGTATATATGTCCCCTACTGTTTTCATGGAACCGGTTCTGGGATTCTCTATAAATACCCAAATATCCATGGAGGCTCAAGAGCATCATTTAAAAGAGATGGATGGTGTTTACCAGCTGTGTGCATCCTCTTGTATACTTGCAGTCATCTAACCTATAATGTCTAAAACAATGTAAATGCTATGTGATTATTTTATATTTTATGGAGACAAAATTCTGTACGTTTTCAGTACACATATACTTCAAACAAAGTAATTTCTATCTGTGATCACTTAAGCCTGAAGATGTTTGATCAATGTACATGGAGAGGTGACTATACTTAGAACTGGTAGTGTGGCCTTTTACTTCCTGCTTAGTGGTGCACAGCAATGTCCACCTTGTTACTAATATCCTTTCATCACGTCTAGATTTTCATGTTTTAAAATTTATTTTTTAAAAATTTTATCTGTGTGAATGTTTTGCTGGCATGTGTGCATGTGCACCGTGTGCATGCAGTGGCAGTGGATGCCAGAAGAGCGTGTCAGAGCCACCACAATTGGAGCTTTATGTGGGTGATGGGAACTGAACCTGGGTCCTCTGCAAGATCAGCAAGTGCTTTTAACCATGGAGCCACCTTTGCAGGACCTACTATATTGTGTTAACACACATTTATAAAACATCACTGGAGCAATTTTCCTGATAAAAGTTTGGGATTATGCATTATTCATTAATAGTCTCCAAGTCCCCTAGCAGAGTATTATACCAATAGCTTGTGTGTGAGAAAGAATACATATAAAATAAATGACCAGGCCTGGGATTGATTCTGAGTCCCATGGCTCTTATAGCAGACACCTTGTTGGAAACACATTTCTGTCCTCACGAGAAGACAACTTGATCTGCAGTTGACTGGAGGCTTTTTGAATCTGGCATCACAAGCCCAGGAGTCTTTGAGATACCTGTTGGAAGATCAACTGCAAAGACACAAACAACCAGATTCTTAATGCTGCATCTTATTGCACAGTCAGTGATAATAACTGACTCCACGCTCCCAAACACAGAGCCACGCCCACATTTGTGCACTGGGTGGTTACAGTTTTACAATGAACCTCTCAACTACCTTTCAAGGGGAAAGTGCAAAGGGAAACTTTGCACTTCCTATCAGAAGCCTTGGGCTTGATTGTCTTGCTGTATTCAGACCTTCTAAGGATAACATGGAGCATACTCCATCTGTCTTAGTTAGGAGACACCATGACCATGGTGGCTCTTATAAAGGAAAACGTCAGTGGCATACTTCTTCCTACAAGACCATATCTAAGCCAACAAAGCCAAACCTCCCGCTAATGCCACTCCCTATTAGTTTATGGGGTCCAATAGCATTCAAACTACCATACCATCTATAACTTAACAGACACACTTTAATCTACATGTGAAAACCATAGACAGTATAATTTCTGCAGTGAAAATTGTGAATCTTCATGTAATATGACATATGTCAAGGTGAATAACCTTATGTTAAGGCAAGGAGCTTTCACTATCATCTACAGAAACCTTTGCCTCTTCAGAACTCTGTAGATTATTGACAAAAGGATTATAGGCCTGTAAAAGGGCTAAGGAGCTTTAACATTTAAAAAACAAAACAACCTGACCCTTCAGAGTAGACATTTAACACGGACACTCAGTCACTGCCCTTTGTGTGTCTGGGGAGTGTGCCACCAGTGGAACATTTATATCAACCCTCCTCAAACCCCAAGACTCAGTGACATCACAAAAGAGGGGATGGGAAGATTGTAAGAGTCGGAGGTCAGGGAGGACAGGAGCCAAAGAGTGTCTTCTGGATATGACAGGACCACTGCACTCAAACCCATAAGATCAAGTCAGTCGGCATTCTGGCATGGACTCAGGAGGGACTCAGGAACCCCCACCTCTACCTGAGAAGGAACATTTAACAGTTGATTGATGTGGAATGTCCCCCTGTGTGCTGTGAATGTGTTTTATTACCATTGGTTAATATGGAAGCTGCATTGGCCTATGGCAGGGCAGAATATAGCTAGGTAGGAAATCCAAGGAGAAATAGAGAGAGAAAGAAGGAGGAGTCAGGAGAGATGCCAGCAGTCACTGAAGGCATAAGATGACAGAGCATTTCTGGTAAGCCACAGGGCATGTGACAATATGCAGATTATTAGAAATGGGCTAATTTATACGTAGAGCTAGCTAGTAAAAAGCCCGAGACATTGGTTAAACAGTTTGTAATTAATTAATACTAAGCCTCTGAGTGGTTCTTGGTGAACTGGTGGATGGGAGAAAAACCTCCAGTTACATTTGATGGTTTCTGGGGGTGGGAGCATCAGTGTTTGTAAGAAGAGTGTCCCTGGTCTACCATGTTCCAGTGGATGACCTCAAAATGATGACTGTATGGGTAATACAATTAGAAACCAGTGAAGTTTAAAAAACAGCAACAAGAGTATAAACAGTTGGGAGAGGTAAGAAGGTTGGGCATGGACCCAGAATGAGTGAGGGCGAGGAGTATTGGTGAATAAAATCAATATGACATTTTCAAAGCATGAACAAAAAATATTAAAAATGATACTTAAACTCCCCAAGTTACTCTATCCTCAGGTAGGACCACAGGGATTATTAATTTTTTCCATCTACTATTCCAAGTCCTATGTTCTGTCTCTTCTGTCTCTCATATCAGCTCACTTTTCCCATCCCCACACCTGCTAACTCCTTACTCCAAAGGCCAACGTACATTTTGCTCTCATGAGTCCTCGCCTTCTGGTTTCCATCCCACATCTAGAATGATCTGTAAAAACAGACTGGACCTGTTACTCTTGCGCTAAAACACACGTAGGCAACCAGTCTGTAAGATGAGCTTCAGATTCTGTTCCACACTCAAGAACATTTCCAAGCTCTTACTGCATCTCCATTTCCACTCTCAATTCCTCTGCCTCGGCTACCCCAGAGCATATTACTTTCCACCACCTCTGCTCCAGGACATACATGTGGTTTACTGAATGCCTCTGTACTTTCAAATCTCCTGTATTGTTTTGTTTCTTTCCATACCATTTTTCTGCAAAACCCTGCTGTGTGGATACCCTGCTGTGTGTACTCCCTGCTGTGTGCACACCCTCCTGATAGTCTGCAAGCAGTCTTTTCACCTTCCAGCACAGGCTGGAAGGGGAATAGTTTTAGCCTGACAGAGAACTGACTCATCCTAACTAATCGTTGATGGTAACAGCTACCGTTTTCTCTGTGGGCTTGAAACCTCTTCTAAGGAAGTGATGAATCATAATGTAGACTATTTTTATATCCTGTCTAGCCTAGCATCTTCGGAGAAAAAGTTTTACATGTAGTATTTTGCAGTAGTCAGCACTTGTAGTGGAACTCGCAAACTACTGACATGATGATGATTTCTGTTGCCACCTTCATCTTAGTGAAGGAAATATTTAAACACCCCAAGTCTCCCCCACAAAGAAAAAATGTGAATACTCTAGATCTCTCCCCACCTGTAAAAATAATAAAAATACCCAAACCCCATCTTTGTCTTTCACCCTGGGAATAGCTATAATATTTAGTATATTTTTGGTGTATCTATACATTTTAGAGATAGGGTCTAGATTGCAATTATCAATGTATGTTTTGTATGGTTTCTTATGTCCACCCAATTTCTTCTATCAGTATTGGATCATAGGTATATGTATTGATCTGACTTGTTTTTTTTTTTAAATCAACCCCCACAGAATTCTATTGAAGGGATTGACTGTAACTAAGCTATTCCTCTATTGATGGGTATTTTGGCTTTGTCTATGGTAAATCCAACACATTCACGGACTAGCTATGACTGATCTTTCAAGCATTTAGGATCAGTAAGTGATGACTGACAATCATTTATTTGGTACTTGATAGCCCTCTATGCAGTTCTGTTGGGCAGGAATTTCTTTCTTTCTTTCTTTCTTTCTTTCTTTCTTTCTTTCTTTCTTTCTTTTTATTTTTTTTTAGTTGTTGCAAAAAATATTTTTGCCTCCTCCCCGTTTCCCATTTCCCTCCCCCTCCTCGCACACATCGCCCCTTCCCCCCACTCCCCTACCCCTATCCCCCTCTCCCCCACTCCATTCCCCCTCCCTCTCGGGAATGAAGAGCAGTCCAGATTCCCTGCCCTGCGGGAAGTCCAAGGTCCTCTCACTTTTATCTAGGACCAGGAAGGTGAGCATCCAAACAGGCTAGGCTCCCACAAAGCCAGTTCATGTATTAGGATCGAAACATGGTGCCATTGTACTTGGCTTCTCATCAGCCTTCATTGTCCGCCATGTTCAGAAAGTCCAGTTTCATCCCATGCTTATTCAGTCCCAGTCCCACTGGCCTTGGTGAGCTCCCAATAGATCAGTTCCACTGTCACAGTGGGTGGGTGTACCCCTCGTGGTCCTGACTTCCTTGCTCATGTTCTCCCTCCTTCTGCTCCTCATGTGGATCTTAAGAGCACAGTCTGGTGCTCCAGTGTGGGTCTCTGTCTCTATCTCGATCCATCACCAGATGAAGGTTCTAAGGTGATATGCAAGATATTCATCAGTATGGCTATAGGATAGGGTCATTTCAGGTTCCCTCTCCTCAGTTGCTCAAGATACTAGCTGGGGACATCTCCCTGGACACCTGCGAGCCCCTCTAGAGTCAAGTCTTTTGCCAACCCTTAGATGGCTCCCTT